ACGGAACCCTATAGGCCTATAGGGTTCCGTTTGAAGTTCTCCTCTAGGCCACTAGATGGAAGTATTGGGTTCTCACATTTCTCAAAGGGCACAAAAGTGCCCTCCCCTTACCCAAGGAATCATCTCTCACAAGAGAGTTTTGTACGTCCCCAAATGTCTCGCCTTGCCTCATTGTAGCAATCAATGAACTTCAACAGTTCCTTCTTTGTCATCCCCATCTTCCAGATAGTATCATTGAGTCCCGTGAAGAATTATGCCCTTTTTCCTTTTGAAAACAGGTACGAAAATGAGTGGACTCTATCCAAGTGGAGTTTCAGTAAAGAAACGTGCTCGCAGGTTCTGTCTTCTATTTCCTTAGGTCTAGAGAAGAATACTACTTCTCTCTACCGAAGGAAGTATACATGCAATCCAGCAACACATGTTGGGCGGGGTCATAAATTATGCAGACCCCTGTAGGACTGGTATTAATAATGCATGTTCCCCTACCATGGAAAAACCCCTAATCGGATTTTTATTTACACCGAAATGCTGCGCCAATATTAACCCCGGTCGCCTTTTCCATCGTAATGCCTGGATTTCGAAACCCAAAATATCCTCCCTGAGTCCTATAGGTCAGGAGACCTAGAAGACCCTATAGGGATCCTATAGGATTCTAAAGGATCCTATAGGTTTTTCGCGTTTCAAAAACCTATAGGAAAGTCTATAGGTTTCCTATAAGAAATTGCTAAAGGTTTCCTATAGGACATTTCCGTAAGGGAAGTGATGGAGGTCAGCCGGTTTAACGTGTCGTTAGCGCGATCCTGCCCGCTAACTAGGCCGAGCGGCAAGTGTGTGTTCATGTGTTTATGCGTCTGATAGCTCTACAGGTCTTGGCTTGCCTGACATCTGGTATAAGCTGACCATGGTCACAATGGATGATTCCAGATTTTCGAGCAGTTTAGACTACTATGTACGATCTCTGATGGAACTTCAGTTACTTTGGGATCACGCAGAACTTTCACTTGGCACTGGATATGTTGCAAGTCTATAAATCAATGCAAAATCGACAACCAGGATTGATTATATTATCGACTACGAAAAGCACAAAGGATTGTTGCAAACCGGTTAAATCTAGTAGTCATTGAATACATTTTCCAACGCAAAGTTAGGGTGCGATCGAATACCTAAGTTGGGGGAGACATCTGGGTCTCAATCACAAAAGGACGCCCCCGAGTACAGCAATCCTCAAAAAAAATGTATGAAAGGATCAGAAGAGGTCGCTCTGGTGACAATGCTCTCCCTTCCCCGGGGAATACATCTGGGCACTTTCTACACCGAAACTCGGAAACCTCGGATACAATCTCGGCCATGAACCGATTGACGATTATTCAAATTCCAAAACGGACTTTCTCGATTCAAAGTAGAGTGGAAACTTCAGCAAAGCCTTATCTTCGGTCAGGAGTCCTCCAGTAAGATTAATGACCAACACCTCACAGCTCCCTGCCAAATGCAGGGCTCGCCTCTTCAGGACGAATGTCTTCCCCGTTCCCGGCCCTCCGCAGATGATGGTAATCTTGTCCCTTCTCTTCACGAGTTCCCGCTGTTGCGAAGTGAGGATCACCAGCATTTTCTTCATTTGCTTCTCGATCATGGCGCCCAATTGAATGGGATTGCGTGGGAGGTCCACAGTCGATGCTGCGCAAACGTAGAGACTGAAGATCTTGCGAAAAGTCTGCACCAGGCGAGAGTCGGGTTCCGAGGATTTCTTCAAGGAGATTTTGTGTCTCCCCAAAAAGTCCATGAAACNTGGGATTGCGTGGGAGGTCCACAGTCGATGCTGCGCAAACGTAGAGACTGAAGATCTTGCGAAAAGTCTGCACCAGGCGAGAGTCGGGTTCCGAGGATTTCTTCAAGGAGATTTTGTGTCTCCCCAAAAAGTCCATGAAACATCTCGGATCGCGCAGATCATCCGATGTGATGATTCGCGCCGTGCATGCTT